GCATTTCCTTTGCGCATTTGTTTTTTTAAAGTTGTGATATAGGTTTTAAATTTCATTCATAATGTCCCTAAAAAGGTCTTAAATTTGACCAGGTGAAACCTGCAGAAACCTTGATATTGTTCCATTACTTCGTCTACCTGACTGGGAAATTTCCAACCTCCAATTAGAAAAAGTACTATGGAACGCTACTTGAGGTCGGATTTCCTACTTGTGAACTCGGTGAAAAAATGTGTACCCCTACTTCACGAGTAGCAGCGTAATGACATCACACAACAATGACAGCTCCCATGGAAGCACACATTGTAAATGGTAAACCATAAACTAAAAGGCAAAGTAAAGTATTAAATTAAAATAATGCATACTATCAATTAGTAAAACTTTTTCTGCATGTTAATTGATGTAGAAATATTTTGGCAATGTATTTGGTAGCTGGCTACAGTAAACAATCTGATCGGATTGACAGAGTCACCTCTTCCTCTAGTGCTCAACACTGGAGCCCCCCAGGGCTGTGTACTCAGTTCCCTCCTGTTCACGCTATACACCCACGACTGCATCCCCCGACATGGAGAGAACTCTGTTGTGAAGTTTGCGGATGACACCACCATCATCGAGCCGGATATCAAACAACGATGACACTTCGTATCGGGAGGAAATTCATAATTTTGTAGAGTGGTGCTTAGAGAACAACCTACTGCTCAACATCAGCAAAACTAAGAAACTAATAAGAAACTACTCTTCTGGGAAGAGACATATAAGTTTTGCTGCCGCACCAGACTGCAGAGCAGCCTTTCCCCCCCAAGCTATCAGGCTCTTAAACTCAAATTCATCCTCAGCACTGCTCCAGTTTATTTCTATTTGCCATTCTTTTTTTATAATTGATTCTTTAATGTATGTTGTCTGCTATGTAGCAGAAGGGAGTTATAAAACTCAATTTCACTCTATAACTTGTTATATTGTGACAATAAACATACCTACCATCTCTAAAAGTAATTTTCTCAATTTTAGGAAAATGTTATAAATGCCCAGAAATGTGAAACCATCGATCCATCCATCTTCATCCGCTTATCTGGGATCGGGTCGCGGGGGGAGCAGCTCCAGCAAGGAGCCCCAAACTTCTCTTTCCCGAGCCACATTAACCAGCTCTGACTGGGGGATCCCGAGGAGTTCCCAGGCGAGTGTGGAGATATAATCTCTCCACCTAGTCCTGGGTCTTCCCCGAGGCCTCCTCCCAGCTGGACGTGCCTGGAACACCTCCCTAGGGAGGCGTCCGGGAGGCATCCTTACCAGATGCCCAAACCACCTCAACTGGCTCCTTTCAACGCAAAGGAGCAGTGGCTCTACTCTGAGCTCCTCGCAGATGGCCGAGCTTCTCACCCTATCTCTAAGGGAGACACCAGCCACCCGCCTGAGGAAACCCATTTCGGCTGCTTGACCCGCGATCTCGCTCTTTCGGTCATGACCCAGCCTTCATGACCATAGGTGAGTGTAGGAGCGAAAATCGACCGGTAGATCAAGAGCTTTGCCTTACGGCTCAGCTCTCTTTTCACCACAACGGTGCAGTAAAGCGAGTGCAATACCACCCCCGCTGCTCCGATTCTCTGGCCAATCTCCTGCTCTAGTCTCCCCTCACTCGTGAACAAGACCCCGAGGTACTTGAACTCCTTCACTTGGGGTAAGGACTCATTCCCTACCTGGAGTTGGCACTCCACCGGTTTCCTGCTAAGAACCATGGCCACAGATTTAGAGGTGCTAATCCTCATCCCAACCGCTTCGCACTCGGCTGCGAACCGATCCAGTGAGAGCTGAAGGTCACGGACCGATGATGCCATCAGGACCACATCATCCGCAAAAAGCAGTGACGAGATCCCAAGCCCCCCGAACCACAGCCCCTCCTCGCCACGACTACGCCTCGATATCCTGTCCATGAATATCACAAACAGGATAGGTGACAAAGCGCAGCCCTGGCGAAGGCCAACCCTCACCTGGAAAGAGTCCGACTTACTGCCGAGTACTCAGACACAGCTCTCGCCTTGGATGTACAGGGATTGGATAGCCCTGAGAAGGGCCCCCTCACCCCATACTCCCGCAGCACCTCCCACAGTATCTCCCGGGGGACCCGGTCATATGCCTTCTCCAGATCTACAAAGCACATGTAGACTGGATGGGCACACTCCCAAGCCCACTCCAGGATCCTTGTGAGAGTAAAGAGCTGGTCGGTTGTTCCACGACCGGGACGAAAACGGCATTGTTCCTCTTCGATCTGAGGTTCGACAATCGGCCAAACCTTCCATTCCAACACCTTGGAGTAGA